AGTGCTGCTTCTTCTCTACGCTCAGGGGCCCGAACGGGATGGCGTCATCCTGCTCCTCGGCCATGTCGAGACTCATAGCCAATTCCGTGTCCAGAGCCCCGATGTACGCTTTGAATACATACTTCCATTGCTGCCAGTCCGTCTGCTGGCCTGAGTACGGCTTGGGCTTCCATAGCAACTTGGTGTCGACTAGAGGCACCAGCGGATCTCCCATTTATGCCAAAATCTCAGCCTCCGTCCGTAGTCCGCTGGTCCTCCCCCTCTCCTCGTCGTAGCCGTCGTGGCAGCGCCAAGGGCGCGCTCGCCAACGCCACCAGCGCCCAAGGTCGGCGCCAGGAGCCCGCGTGCGGTCCGTCTGGATCTCACACCCCGGGCTCCGCTACCATGGGAGAAACCGAGGTCTCGTGTGATTTCTCTCAGAGCGGTTTTGAGCCAAATTATCACATATGCATCCCTTTCTGTCCTGCACAACAAACTCCAATCACAACAAACGTGACAGGTAACATCCGCCAGCCTGGTTGTAGGCCCTTTGGGCATACACCAAACTTCAGTCATATTAGGCCAAAGCCCCTTTCGGCATAGCACACAACATAGCATAGCAGCACAGCTGGATTAGGGGTTATATACACGCATGGGGAAATTAAGGATTTTGGCTTCTGGAGGCACTCTTGGGGGTCGTCTTGGGGCCCTCTTGGGACGTCTTAGGAGTTTCTTGGGCCCTTTGGGGTCCGTCATGGACCGTCTTGAAGCCGTCTTCGCCCGTCTTGAAGCCATATGGAGCCGCCTTGAGGCTCTATTGGGCCTCCCAGAGGGCCCAAAGTCCCGAATCACCGATTTTACATAGGTTTTGGTGCGTTTTTGAGCCCCAAATGGGGGTCTCCATCTTGGGTCGACGGATGTGGCGTAGCCCCTTGGGGGGGGGTCGGGGGGGGGAGACATAATCATGTAACGCAACACAAGATGTGGCAATTATGCAACAATTGGATACATTGGGTGCGTTGCATTATCGCCTCCGCAGAAGACGCTGCCACTCAGCACGTGACTTCCGGACGTGGATTCTACAGGCTTGCGCCACATCCGTCCCCCCTTCGATTTTGTCAGAGGGGCTAACATCGGGGGGCTTTCGGCCTGTCTCGCGAGCGTGCGTAGGTGTTGGGTCAGAGTCCTTAGGGGTGCTTCTGGGAATTCTGAGCGTTTTCGGAGGGCTCTTGGGATCCTCTTGGGGCTTCCAGGGGCTCTTCGACAAGGAGGTCTCTCCAAATACCGGATTTGTGTTTCTGGGCCGTCTGTGCCCCGTCATCTTGTGCCCGCGCGGCGGGCCCCCCCTCTGCCCTCGGCCTGCCCCGTTGTCGGCGGGGGCCGGCCCCTGCCGTTCAGACCGCGGCGTCGGCGGCCGGCCGGCGTCCCGGCCCATTGCGGCACCCGCTGTTCTCTTCGCGAGTGAAGTGGCGGGGACAGTGGGAATCGAGAAACAAAAACAGCACAAACACGATATTTCGGCGCTCCGCGCGGATTTCTTGGATCGGCGCGGTCCCCCTGGCGGCGCCTCCAGCGTCGATCCGAGAAACCCGCGCGGACAAGGCAGGAGCGAAAGTTGCGCGAGCGATCGTATCATGAGGCTGGTCTCCAGGGCTGGGGGGCCATATTCATAAACGTGGTTTGGCGCGTAAGTCCTTTGTGGGCTCCCTCACCACAGTGGGAAGGAAGGGACCCGTGCGATATCCACACTTGTATCATGTTCGGCCTGGGTCTCGAGGAGTCAGGATGCGGGTATACGTCTGGGTCTCGAGTGGCCCGTGCAGTTCGTTTGTATCATGCTCGGTCTCAAAGGGTACAGGACGGCTTATAGCTTGTAGCGTTTGGAGAGGTTCACGTGCAATGATTGGCACTCGTCGTGCGCAAGCTTCATATGGGATGCTCCAGCGATGTGACATAATCCAGCCGTCTTGCACCACAATGCTTCTGCGTGTATGCGCTGGCTTGTCGCCACCAGTGATGTCAGCACCAGTTTGAGGCATCCGGAATCGAAGGGACCCCCACATCCGAGGTTTCTGGCCATTTTCGGCTTTAAGGGGCCCTCATTGGGCCTTGGACTGTTAAGAAACGACCCGGGATGAGAGGCCTGTCCTGGGGAAGGGGTCCAGACACCTGGGGGCCCTTGGCGCAAGGGTGAGGGTCCAGCATCTTGGGGATCAGAGGAGGGTCGGAGGAGGAACAGGTATCGATACCGCTTCCCTTCCCTCGTTCTGGACTTCTTGAGCCTCTCGGGGGGAAATCGTCGCCATGGCTGAAGTCCCGTTGAAATTTCGGTCAGAGCGCGCTTGGAGGTCTGGGGAGAATCGGTACCTTTTTGATTCCCCCCGAGGGTTATGGCAAGTTCTCGTCGTGTCCATGCGGCGACGACCCCGCCGCAGGCGTTCAAGGTTGAACGTCGCCGTGAGCGCAGAAGCGGCAAACCTGGAAAGATTTTGCGATCGAGAAAGCACCCATCGTTCAATGTTATACGATCCACGCGGTTTCAGGAACCAACGCCGAAGCTTTCACGACAAGAACTTGCCTTACGAAATCTGCTGCGTGCAGCTGGATTCGGTCCCGCCGCCAGGCGTTTTTCTCGATACACATGGCCGCCTCGGGCGCCAGGAGGCGCCAGGAAAACCAAATGCTCAAGGTCGAAGATGTCGAGGGACGTTGCGCGACGATGACAACGACGACGACGACAATGGCGAAAGGAGTGAAAAAAGTTTGCGCAGATTGCAAGGACCGTGGGTTCACGGCGCGCAGGTGGCAGGCGTATGAGTGCACAGGCTTGTGCGGGAGGAGGTTCCCGAAGTCTGCGTTTGCCGAAGGGGCCCTTTTCGCACGTTCCGCCAAAAACGGCACCGTGAAGTGAAACGTTCGGATGACGCCTGTTCGGAGGACGTCTGGGAGGGGCACCTGCAGATGCCGTCGAACGGGCCGAACGTAAACTATGATTGGGGGAGAAGGACGACGACGAGGAGGAATAGGCAGAGGAAGGTGAGGCAGAGGAGGTGGAAGCCTTCGGTTGAATTCGCCACCGTAGCGGGGCTGTGGGTCAGGACCCTCTTGGCTGCATGTGAGAGCCTCTCGGGATGCCTCCCAGGGGCCTTCGGGAGGGAGGGCATTTGGGGGGGGGGCCTCTTGGGGCCGATGGTGGGGCGTGGGAGCCTTTTGGGGCCTGCTTGGGATGAGTAGGCGCCTCTGGCGGTCTCTTGGGGCGATTTTTTTGTTGAAAAGCTTGGATTTCTAGGTCGTATTCACCTTCCTGGGACCCCCTTGGGGCTTTCTTGGCTCTCTTGAGCCGTCTTTGAGGCCCATAGGGCAGTCTTTGTGCCCTGTGGTGACGTTCCCGGCCTTCTGCAGGGCCTAAGGAGTCATTTGGGGAGAATATGTGGGGCCCCTTTGGCCGTCGAGGGCGCTGTCATGACGCAAGATGCGAGAACGGTAGAAGTGTTACGTCTTTCTGCGGGAGTGTGGCGAGTTTCGCCTCTCGGGGCCCCGTCGGTGATCTTCTGGGATCAGGCTTGGGCCGTCTCTTTTGGGGGCGTCCTGGGCCGTCTGGAAGCCATCTGGGATTGTCGTGGGGCGACCACGGGCCGCACCGACGGTCTCTTCGACCATCTCGGCGGTTTGTTTGGGCATTTGGGGCAGTGTTGGGGCTCTCCAGAACCGTCTTGGCGTCCAAAGGGGAGCCCCGGAGAGGCGGACCCCCCGCCCACCCGGGGGTCGTTCAGGACGAAGGGGGGGTGTCTCAAACGCGCAGTGTTGGACCCGTGGGGGGGGGGGGAATCTAGGGGGGGAGCAATTTCACACGCCTGAAGGCACGCAAGGGGTCGACGGATTAATGAACCACGACGTTGCGAAGTCCACAGGAGCAGGAGAAGGAGAGAAGAGTGGGAGTGAGGGAGGAGCAAGAGGAGGGGGGCAGAGCGAGATGAGGGAGGAGGGAGGAGCATGAGGAACAGGGATTGCGAGTGTCAGCGTGCTCACGACGACCAACGAGATGCTCCCGCACCGCACGGCCTCCGGAGCGCTCAAAAACACGGCCGCCAGACGAAACAGTCCAAACATGAAGCCACGATGGCGGCCAAGACGCACCACGGGTTGCTTCTGGGAGACCCCCAGGAGGGTCAAGTTGGACTCAACGTCCCGAAGATGACCCCCAACAGAAACTCCCGAGAAAAATCAAACGACTCCCAGACTGAACTTACGATATCAAAAGCAATATCAATGTTTGCCCTAGGTGTCTCATCGTCGTGTCCACGTCTCCTATTACCATCAGCAGCATCATACTCATCATGACCACCTTCATCACCCTACTGTCTGCATGCGCATATAAAAGCTTTTAATAGTTGCTTATCTGGTGTTCGTTCTCCAGGGTGTTCAAGTTTCTTTCATAAGCGTTTCTGGCAGGAATTGCCGACACAGCTGAAAGCACAAATTAGCTATATCACCTGAGGATCATGGCCTGAATATTAGGTGACGGTCATTATCTTCGTCTCGTTCATGGCCCTCTTGCCGATGCTACGACGTATTGGCACATGCTGCAGGTTGCTAGAGCCTAAACGCGCGAAGAGCGCGCGTGTGGGTCTTGATGTCTGTATACGCGTACACGGGAAATCCGAATGGTAGCATGTGGAAGATTCGTCGTATCTGCCAAATGTGAAGACGATGCGTTCTTCATGGTGCATGTGAGTTCTTTCCCTCCTATAATCATGTTCCTCGTGCTTCTGTTATGTCCCTTACCTCTTTGTTTGTTTGTGTGTTTACTCTGCCTCCTTATTTCCATCCGCTTGGCGGAGGAGGAACGGAAAGAGGGAGAGGACGCGGGCAGGGCTGGGAGAGAGGACGCAGGGAGAAAGTTGAGGGTGGGGGTAGAAGAGAAGAAAGAGGAAACGTATGTGCTCCTCCTCCTTTCCCCCCCCCTCCTCATTAAACCCCCTTTCCCCTTTTCCCGACGAATGTTCTGGCCCCGCGGCGAGATACCCCGCCCAGCCAGCCTACTCCTTCGCCAGCAAGACGAATCGCGGGGCGCCCCCTCCCCCCGCGAGGAGGATGAGGAAGTCGACGACGACGACGAAGAGCGGAGGGTGGGTGAGGGAGAGGGAGAAGAGGAAGGAGGTAGGTGGTGGGAAGTAGAAGGGCGGGGGGGGAGAGGAGGACGAAGAAGGGAGCAGGGAACAGGATCGAGGAAGGAACCATGAGGAGGGAGGAGGAGGAGGAGGAAGGAGTAGGGAAGAGGGAGGAGGGAGTTGGAGGGAGATGCCGAGAAGGAGGAGGAGGAGGAGGACGACGACGAGAAGAGGCAAGGCAGGAGGCTTGAGAGAGCTGGAGGAACAGAACCAGGATCTCCGCTCTTGGCCACCGAAGCTGCACATATTTGGTCCCAGGGTTTGCAGGTTGGGAGTGGTGATCTGCACAGGTGGACAAAAGGTCGGAGACCCCCAGGTTCTTCCTTCTGTTGCCCCGAGCGTAGTCCGGGGGAGAGGGAAGTTGCTTGTTGACCCGTAGGACACCGTGGCTGTGAAGGCTCGGATTTGGTTGAGTTTGTGGCGCCCTGGAAGCGAGTGCTGGGGACCTCCTGGGTTCGAGTTGTCGCTTCCCCCGCCAACAAGTGCCAGCGTAATCTCCCAAGCCTATCATTATATTTGCTCCCATCTGCCTAATATCATCTCCGCCGCCAGTTGCTTCAGGCACTGCATGGCGTTTGGGCGCCGGTGCTGCGGAACCTGTGTTAGATAAGTCTCATTGCTGGCGACCTCCTCACATGTATGAGGCAGCCCATACAACATACATCAATTTTGTTGTTGACACCACATGTGTTTCGACGTATGAGTTGTAGCACGAGACATCGCAAGGCTATGAAGAAACAGTCTAGATGCCTTGCTATCAGCCGACAGGATGGATGCTCACGTGTGGCATCAGCAGCCGGCCACGTCGGGGATGGATCAGTACTTGATCTTACGCGTCTCATGAAGTTTGGTACTTGCTATTCTACCTATTAGGACAACGGCAGCAAGGGATCCTCACGCCGAGAGCCAAGTTCCCAGAGGCGTAGAAGTTTGCCTCCCCCCCTTCGGTCCAGGCGCAGGCAGCGCATCGCCGATGACCAGGAATTGGAATCCTTGGGCAGCAAAATTGCGTGCAGCGGTGACCGCATCAACCCATCACAGGTGCATCGCAGATGGGCACTGCGTGCACTGCAACGCATGTTGAAACCATTTCCTGGAAGCGTAAAGAACTGGAATTGTTTGCCCACGGTGAAACGATCAGGAATAGCTGGGCGGGGGAAGCAATCGGGGCCACCCAAGCGCCGATGAATAGGAATAGCGACCGCATGACCCTCGAAAGGGGTCCAAGACGAGTCTGTCAGTTGAACGCGCGGAGTCTCAGGTGCGAAATCGAACGTCCACGTTAGATCTGATTGAAAGCAGCGGCCTTTCTTACCATGCCCCAAAAACGCCAACTGAATTACGGCAGGCTCACAATGTTTTCCGCCCATCAAAGAAGTACGCACCATAGTTTGACGACACAGTGCGCGCGCTGGATCAGGTATTAGGATGTGCATCCGCCAATTGCAAAGTGCTCCTTCTCTTCGCTCGCGGGAGGACTCCAGAGAGATCGCTAGCGTGGCGGCCCCCAGCCGGAAAAGCGAGTGGCCCTCGAGCCCCCAGGTCTTCCATCGGATCGGTGTCTCGGATGTCCAGGCCGGCAGCTCGCGCCATCCAGGGCGCCAAATGCTTGGCCACTTCGGTTAGGCAGTATCCGCGCTGCGCGAAGGCATGTGATTTCAACTGTCAGGTCGCTGTCCTAGACAGCCGGCCACCCCCTGGGGGGCCCGCTCTCTTTGCGGGGCGGCGGAGCTGTCTGCCAGCCCCCCATCACCGAGCTCCAGGCGCGCGGGACAGACATCGCGGCGGGAGGAGGAGGACAGGAGGAGGGGAAGGAGGAGGAAGAGGAGGAGGAGGAAATCGGATGAGATGGAGGGAGGGGTGCAAGGAGGAGGAGGAGGAGGAGGAAAGGCATAGGAGGGATGGGGACAGGTAAGGAGGAAAAGCAGGATGAGGAGGACGGCCACGACGGCGCTGCCACGACCACCCTGCTGCCCGCAGCACCAGGTGCGGCTCTTCCGCGACCTGCGGGGCAGCCTGCCCCTCGAGGCGCGCGCCCTCCCCCCCTTTGCTTAGCGGGGGCTCGGAATATCCAATAGTTCCAGTTGCTCCTCCCACTCCTCCTCCGCCTCCTTTTTCCTCCTCCCCTGCTCCTCCTCCTCCTCCGCCTGGCAGGCTGTTCAGTCTCACGCCGAGCCTGAAGAGTTGAATCTCGCCGGAGTCAGCGACCATTCCCCCGTCTCCCTCGTCTTCTCTGTTCGTTCGCCTCCCCGTTCGGATCGGCCTCGCCCCCTCCCTCTTCACCTCTACTCGGACCCTGTGTATGCAAATCTGGTCAAAGCCTACGAGGCTCAGATCGATGTTGAGCTCTGCGACCCGCCTGAGCGATTGCGACGTGCCGTCCTTTGTCGACAGCTGGCGGGAGTGGCGACTCGTGATTTGCAGCTCGAGCGGCATTGAGTCACGCGCGATGGTGGCTCGTTCGATTGCCCGTGTAGTGTATAGGCAGGGTGCACGGATGGCGCACGCTCTTCGCGCGCACCACCCTTGGACTAGAGTTGTGATGTTGGTCTCGGCTAGCGGGGAGGTTTCACTAGCGGACCCCGCCAAATTCAATGCGCTGCACGCGGGGCTCCAGCAGCAGGAAGCACGCCGTCGGAGTGAGCGTCTTGAGCAGGAAGCCGCCCGCTCCGACGGCGCAAGTTTTTGGCATGCATCACCTTTGCGATCGAGGGCTCGGGCGCTACAGAGCTGCCCAAGACGGAACAACATATAAGATCGACATGCGGTGCGCGGAGGGCCCCAGAGGTAACCTCGAGGCTCTCGCGCAATACTGGCGCCCAGTTTTCGAGGAATGCTCGCCTGTGCCACAGACTGCTGCCAAATATACGGCGCGGTCCCAGTCCAGCAGGGATTTCTCTTCCCTCCCTCCCCCGACTCTGCGGCTCCTCCGCTCCCTCCTCGCTCGCTCCTCCGATTAGTGCCCCTGGGCCCCATGGTCTTCATTTCCAGGCCTGGCGCGTGGGGCAGGAAGCCCAGATTCTTGACGATTGTCTGCTCTGGATCATGAATGGTTGCCCGATGCCCCTGTGGTTCTCAGAATCACTTGCAGTGATCCTCCCGAAACCAGTTGCAGGCGAAGCCGACGAGCGCGAGGCTCTCACCAGGTCTGCTGGGCACACTCGCCCGCTAGGTCTGCAGAACACGGCCAACAAAGTTTTAGGGGTACGTTCAATCGTGCAATCTCCCCAGCTTCGCGCGGGTTGCCAGCGCACTGCCAGGGGGGGGGTTATCCCTGGGCGCAACTTTGTTGACAATATTGTCGACATCGACACAGTAGCACGCATGGCTAGCATCAATTCGTGCGCTTTTCGCCCGCGGCCGGGAGACGCGCACGGATCCGGACGTTCCAGCGGGCGTTCTCAGAACGTTCCGGCGGACCGTTCCCAGAACGTTTTGGCGGCGCAGAAGAGTTGTGCTGTGCCGTCTGAGGGGAAAGCCGTTGATCCTGGGGCTGTTATGTCGCCGTCGTCGTTTCTGTCGTTCGATTTTGCGCAAGCGTTCCCCTCGGTGCGGTAAGAAGGGATGCTCATGAGTCTCACGTGCCTTAGGCTGCCGTCTGGTTTCCTTCTCTCCGTTTGTGAGCAATACCACTTCAATCCTTGCTACTTTGACGACGCGTGCATGCGGAAAGTCATTGATTGGATGCATTCAAGGGATTCTGTAGGGCCGCCCTCTTAGCGGCACGCTTTTCATCTTTGCGATCAACCCGTTTCTCGAAGATATCACCAAGCACGCTGATGCCAAGGAACGTGGTTGCACTCGAGCCTGCGCTGATGATGCGGGGGTTGTGGTGCGGAGGCGGGTGGGATATTTCGATTCAGCCCGTATCTTCGCTCTTGCCAGGAAGCTGGCGAAATTAAGACTCGAAGCCTCGAAGTGCAATGCTTTCACCTTCGGTGGCCCTCTTGAGTCGGCGTCGGCCCCCCTCCGCGCCATTCTCTCTGAAGCCGACGTTGGTTGGGTGGCCTTTAGCATCGTCGGCAAGCTGGTCTATTTAGGAGTCTGGCTTGGTCCCGCGGCGACTTCTCTGGATCAGTGGGAGGGGCCCGCCCAGAAGCTGCTATCTAGAGCCATCGAGACTGCCGGCACAGGAGCCCACTTTGAAAGATGCGTAGAGCTCTATGCGCAGCGTGACTTATCCGTGCTTCCATAAAAAGCCCAATGGTTCTTTATGCCCGGGGCCATGGCTGTGCGTGAGAGAGGATGCTATTTGCTCGTTTTTTTTTTGTGCGCGCCCCGTGCACGATCGTCTCGCACCCCGAGTGGTTCGAACTCCAGTCTTGGGGGTACCCCGTCTGCCCAGTACTCTCTCCATGAATGCGGCCACAATTATGCGGTGCTCTTTGGCGACGCTCTCGACATGGCAGGCTCAGATCGCCCGCCTGCGGACAGCCGCGGTCTCATACGGGCCCGTGGCATGGTGGGGCCCCCCACGGCACGCACCCGAGTTTTGGCTGTCCGAGGCGATCGCTAGCACCCTTGAGTGGGCCTCCCTGGGCTTTCCCCCTCGTTTTCGCTCCCTCGATTTTCCCGCCTGCCCCACTTTTCGCCTCCTCCAGCGCGCTCTGACCCAGGACGGAACGGCTGCCGCGCACATGTTTCGGGACCTGGCGATCCGAGAAGCGAGAGAGAGAGACCGCGGTGGGAGGGGAAGTTTAAGCTCTGCTTCCAGGCTGCCCTGTACCCGACCCCTTCCCTCCCCGCTCGCATCCTCGTCCTTGTCCGTCGTCACTTGGATCTCTCCTTCGACTGGGAAGGGTCAGAGGCTGCCACAATGGAGCTGCTGCAGTTGCCCCCCCCCCGCGCGGGCCCGGATTGCTCTCAGATCTTGGCCGGGATCGCGGGTCACGAGTCGCAGGATGGTCCTGCTTGATGCTCAGTGCGTTTTCGGGTGCGATGCTCCCGACCACGTCAAGCATTGTAAATGTAGCTGCCGTAGATTGCAGAATGTCGCCTCCATGGCTCTGCGTTCATTTCTCCACGGGGGCGCCCTCTTCCTCCTTGGACTTCGAGGTGGTTCTCTGGCCTTTGTAGTTGCGCGTTACCACGCGCATCGTCTAGCGTCCCATCAGAGTGCGTTTCCGCTCTGCAATTAATCGACGCCGTGAGGTTGGCCACTCGTCTCCCAACGCTGACGCGAGCCTTCCTCGAGTCCATCGTGGAGCCGGCGCGGCTGGGAAGGGAGGATGGGTAGAGTGGTTGGGATCGTGACTTTTTCTTTCACGCTGCGCCCCCTCCTCCTCCTCCTCCTCCTCCTCCTCCTCCTCCTCCTCCTCCTCCTCCTGTTCCTCCTCCTCCACCTCCACCTCCTCCTCCTCGTCCTGCTCCTCCTCCTCCTCCTCCTCCTCCTCCTCCTCCTCCTCCTCCTCCGGAGCGCACCAGTCCTCTTCCTCCTCCTCCTCCTCCTCCTCCTCCTCATCCTCCTCATCCTCCTCCTCCTCCTCCTCCTCCTCCTCCTCCTCCTGTTCCTCCTCCTCTTCCTCCTCCTCCTCTTCCTCCTCCTCCTCGTTTTCGCTCCCTCGATTTTCCCGCCTGCCCCACTTCTCGCCTCCTCCAGCGCGCTCTGACCCAGGACGGAACGGCTGCCGCGCACATGTTTCGGGACCTGGCGATCCGAGAAGCGAGAGAGAGAGACCGCGGTGGGAGGGGAAGTTTAAGCTCTGCTTCCAGGCTGCCCTGTACCCGACCCCTTCCCTCCCCGCTCGCATCCTCGTCCTTGTCCGTCGTCACTTGGATCTCTCCTTCGACTGGGAAGGGTCAGAGGCTGCCACAATGGAGCTGCTGCAGTTGCCCCCCCCCCGCGCGGGCCCGGATTGCTCTCAGATCTTGGCCGGGATCGCGGGTCACGAGTCGCAGGATGGTCCTGCTTGATGCTCAGTGCGTTTTCGGGTGCGATGCTCCCGACCACGTCAAGCATTGTAAATGTAGCTGCCGTAGATTGCAGAATGTCGCCTCCATGGCTCTGCGTTCATTTCTCCACGGGGGCGCCCTCTTCCTCCTTGGACTTCGAGGTGGTTCTCTGGCCTTTGTAGTTGCGCGTTACCACGCGCATCGTCTAGCGTCCCATCAGAGTGCGTTTCCGCTCTGCAATTAATCGACGCCGTGAGGTTGGCCACTCGTCTCCCAACGCTGACGCGAGCCTTCCTCGAGTCCATCGTGGAGCCGGCGCGGCTGGGAAGGGAGGACGGGTAGAGTGGTTGGGATCGTGACTTTTTCTTTCACGCTGCGCCCCCTCCTCCTCCTCCTCCTCCTCCTCCTCCTCCTCCTCCTCCTCCTCCTCCTCCTCCTCCTCCTCCTCCTCTTCCTCTTCCCTCCTCATCATCTCGTCGTCGTCCTCCTCCTCCTCTTCCTCCTCCTGCGGCGGCCGCGTGTCTGCCGCGCGGCGGAAGCACTTTGATCGGGGGCCAGCGCATGCAACCCCCCAGCCCCAGGACACGCACGCCGCTCGGCGGCAAGCGAGCCCCTGAGCCGAGGGTGTGCGCCGACCGGGGCCCCCACCTCGCATACTCGGTAGCGCGGCGACGACGTGCAGCATGGAGTTGACGAGCGCAAGCGCCGGCCGCCCGCCCTTGGCGCCGTCCGCAGCTTTGCGCCCGCCAGCCGCCGTCGGGCCCCGGCGGCCCGGCGCCATGGGCCCCGCGGCCGCAGCGCGCCCAGCCCCGTTCGCCCCAGCCGCGGCGGCGCGCCCGCCCAGCCTCCCCAGCGCCGCACCCCGCTGGAACAGCAGCGGAAGCAGCGCCGCGCCCGCCAGCGCCCGTCCGAGCCGCGCAGGCGGCGCCGCGCCGCGCCGCGCCCGGCCGCCCAGCGCCAACGCCGCTGGCGCCGCCGCTGCGCCGCCGTCGCCCAGCCGCTTCGGCGCGCGCCCAGCGCCCGCGGCGCGGCGCCCGAGCCCCAGCTGCAGCGGCGCCCCCTCCATCCGCTCAGCGCGCGCCCCCGGCGCTAGCCGCCCAGTTCAGCTGGGGCCGCGCCCCCGCGCTCACCTCGCG